ATAAATAAATAAATAAATGAATAAATAAATAAATAAACATTTTTCTGAACACAAAGACACAGGTGTCATGTACCTCTCTGGGAGAATAAAAGGGGTATTTTCCTCCTCCCACAGCTGGGTGAGGGATGCCTGGAACTGGAGGCGGACTCAGAACCAGACTACTTTTCCCCTGGTGGTCGCCTGGTTTCCCATCAGCCCCGTCACAGGGAGATCCGGCTCTGGCAGCAGACGGTGGAGGCTGGAGGAGGGTGTAGACATTTTCCAAGGCCGTTCTGCAACAACATGTTTACAGTAGTAATTAGGACGTATCTGTGAAGAGACTAAATAACTGACTGTGTTTGTCTCTAATCAGTTGTTTGACTCGTGGATCAGAGAGACAACACACACACCTGTGTACACACTGCTGTCAGCTACACACCACTTCACAGACCAACAAAGAAAAGATGGAGACTCAGAGCAGTATTTGTGGAGTATTTTCCCGTCTCTTGCTGTCGATTGTTACTATCAGCTCAGAGAGGCTGATTAGATGGGAGGATGAGGAGTGTGTGGAAGAAAGATGAAGAAGCTCTYAGTGATGAGATGTGTTTTCTGTTCAAGGATAAGGCTTTTCTAAAAATAATCCAAGTGTGTTTTGTGTGAAAATAACCAACCCTGTGGGCGCTGTGGCAACGATGTGACACCCGTCTCCAAAGACCTCTGCGTCAGACTCTGGCCCCTGATTGGACAGAGTCTGGCTGCGGTTTTTACGGAAACCAAATATGGCCAGCATGTTTCTCCTTTTCTTCCTCCTCAGAGAGTGTGCTTTGTGCAGCGACGAGAGCTGACTGAAAGAGGTGGGGGAAAAAAAGCCAAATGTCACACACAAGTTTGTATTTCTATCCTCATGGGGACACTGCATTGACTTCCTTTAATTTAACGGTCATTTCTGCAGCCTAACCCAACTACCCCAGTACACACCTGAGCCTAAATCTAACCATTACTAGTCYATACCTAACACTAACCTTGATTTACCTTGYTTTTATATCCCTGTGGGKACTGTGGGCTGACTTCCATTCTTTTTTTTTTGGTAATTTTATAGCCTAACTCTGACCATTTGCCCTAAAACTAACTTAACTCAAGTTCCACCTTGGTCCTAAACCTGATTGAATTTAGCATCTGTACCCATGGGGCTTTGGTCCCCACGCAGTGGCGGAGCCAGACATTTTTCTCAGGGGTGGCCAGACTGGGACCACTACTCACACAGGGGTGGCCAGACTGGGACCACTACTCACACTGGGGTGGCCAGGAAAATTACATCATTTTTTACCTGAAAGTTTCTGCAGGTCTTTGTGTTTTTGTTATTTCCTTATGTCCTCATTCAGGCGACGATTATAAACATGGACGTCAGAACCATTTTTTTAAAAAGGGGGGGCTGTTGGGGGGTCTGGGGGTCCTCCCACAGAAAATTTAGAACAAAATAGATGCCATGTCCTGCATTCTGGTGTATTTTACCAGGCTATTTAACATACTTTTACCTATATAAATAAACACTTGATTTCATAAACATTTCAGAGACAGATTCTTCATTAAACTAGTTCCATCATCCTGTTTTTAAACTCACTGCTACAGCTGAGATAAAATTAATTAATGTGACACACTTTATCATATTCAATGACCATAGGGGTGCATTTTACTTTTATATTGTTTATTGATTTATTTTTAATTGTAACAGATGTCATTGTGCCAAATAATGATGACCTTCAACTGCATGTTTAAAACCAATATTAATATTTTTACCCAAACAACAGGTGCAACATTGATTATGACCAACAGGGAATTTAGAGATGTGTTTCACTTTTTCTGATTTAGTGATAGGTCTACTCATAACCAAAAGGGACAGAGAAACATAAAATGCCAAAAAAAAAAAAAAAAAAAAACATTTGTCACCATAAGTCAGATTACGTAGGCATTTGTTCTGTATATAAACAAAACTATCACTTCTTCTCCAGTCATAGAACTTGGTGATGTTTCAAACTGTTAAACACTGCCACCAACTGTTCAGGAGGATTATTACAYCCCTAAAGGCTGTTTCACTGTGGAAGGCGGGGCTGTCCAAACATTTTGTCACATGGGCCAAAATCATAAAGTCAGAAGGACTTGAGGGCCAAAAAAAGTCCTTTACCTGCTCAACAATAAACTAAACATTGAACACTTTATTTAAATAAA